GAACTAAGCTGGAAAAATAAAAATGAAGGTCAATTAAATTATAAAACGAGTTAAAGTTCTCCTTTTTAAGTTATTTGGTGAATTTTAAATGTATATTTTTTTAAGTTTTATCTATTTCTGCTTTTAATTATATCAGTGTCGGTCCTCCATACTGCAGAACTTAGAAGAGTTAGTTCATTGACTGAATCAGGTGTGTTGGAGCAGAGAAAAATGTAAAACATGTAGGGCTGTGGCCCTCGAGGACCAGCATTGTCCACACCATGGTTGGAGTCTGGGTTTGACCAAAACAGCTACAACTCTGTCATTTTCCATCATCTTAGTCTAAGCTAAGCTAAAGCTAACTGTCGATGTTTCTGCAGCTGAAGAGGCGAGCTGAGTCAGCTGGTCGGAGCTTCTCCAAACATTCGGGAACAGGTACCACACAGAAAAAGTGAAATGATGTTTTTTAACGTTAGAGTTTAGCTCTTGAGGCTCTTTTTATTTTCACTGCAGCATCCTCTCTGAGCAGATCATGTGTGGAGCTCCTGAAGCATCTGGGTGTTCCCGTCATCTGGGTACAGCACGGGAATTATACGTTTTAGTTTTCACCCTGGCACCATTTGCCCCTCCCTTCATATGAAAGAGTTTTTATCTTTCAGGCTCCAGGGGACGCTGAGGCCCTGTGTGCCCAGCTGGTGCGAGACGGGACTGCCGATGCGGTGGCGTCAGAGGACATGGACACGCTGCCCTTTGGAGCTAATGTTCTCATTCGTCAGCTGAATGCTAAAAGAGACAGGTGGGGGCCATCAGCTCACACGCAGCTCTGAGGTTGAGTAAAGGGCTTCTCTTCTGTTTTAATTCAAGTTGATGATTGTGGCAAATTGAACCCTTCTAAAAAAAACGACACTCCATTTACAAAGAGGTGAATTAAGCTAAAATTGACCAGATTTTGTTTGATAATTTTGAAACTTATAAATCATCACTGAATGAAATCAAGTATGTTTGCAAAGACTCACATCAGGTTGCTTGTAGAGTTGAAGTGATTCACGATTAGTTGTAACATTAGACTTTATTTGATTAACATATTTTAACTGTAAAATAAAGACTGTAAAAATACTGTAGGGTGTTTAGTAAATTTTAAAAAACACAGACGGGGCCATTTTATTTACATGCAAAGCATTCTGGGTAAATGATGACATCGACTAGGTCCTTGGTGCGAGGCTGCTGCGTTCAGTAGTCCCAGGAAGTGTGTTCCCATTGGTAGATTTAAACTGGAACACCCCCTCCAGTGGTAATATTCCACTCATATAGTGGAAGAAATGAAACTGCCCCCAGTTTCGATTTCAAGATGGCGGCTATTCGCTGCTTTAGAAAGTTAACGCCATAGCTTTTACTGTTAATTATTTTTCTTAATTTTTTATGCATGTTTAATCACTCGCACAAGTAGTGTGTTGTCTGTGCAATGCTGTACTTATTAAAATCAATGTTTATTTGCATGACGTACGTAGTAGAGCTCTCTTTTTGTCATTGTTTATATTGTAGCAGTGTTGTAGCTAGGTTAGCGGCAACAATACAATCGCCTGTCGTTAACTGGAATGCAGTTTCATATGGTTTGTTGAGAAATGACGTCACTACCGTTTACCAGTTCCCGGAATACGATGTAAATGGAACGCAGCATAGATCCACCCTGAAGGTTAATCTTGGACAAAACCAGACAGCGTTGACAGAGAGGAGAAGGTAGAAATGACTCAGTCTGTAACTGAAAATATAGATGGACAACAGAGCTGCTTCATGGAAGAAGAACCTCAGCTTAGCCTGTTAGCTTTAGCGCCAACAATATATTGCTATATACGTATATATTAATGTATTAGCTTGGTGCTAGTGCAAAAGCTAACAAGCTAAACTGAGGTCCTCCATCCATATCATTTCTGCATTCTCCTCTGTCATGTGGATGGAAGACCTCAATGACGCAAGGAGAATGTGTAGCACTGAGCTAATGTATGGCAATAGCGTCGGCACTAATGCAGAAGCTAACAGGAAAAACAGCCTTGTAATGGGGTGATTAGGTTTACAGGACAGGGCCAAGGTTAGGCTATAGAAATGACTGGAAAATCTCCACAGGGATAGAAAAAACAACTCAAGTGTGTGTGTGTAAGCAAAATATCTGTGTATTGGGGAACACTCTCTGACCACCACACCAAATCTGAGCTCAATATTCACAAAATTAATTGAACTACTGTCATTTTTGTCCTGATGCATCTCAATAATCCAGGTAAAAAATCAAAAGGAAAAAAATTGTATAGGTCCTCTGGACGGGTTCTTC